GGGTGTGGGTGTGGGTGTGGGTGTGGGTGTGGATGATGATGCCCTTTTCACCCACACCCACACCCTCACTCTAATCCAAAATAGAGTTAAACATGACAAACAATGGAACTTATAATAAAATATGTCATGATACTGTTGTACTTCTAACGTGAATATCTTCTATCGAGAAAGTTTTCCAGAGGCGTGAAAAACTAATGAAAATAACGCACTGATGAATAGAGATAATCAGAGGTGTAAACAATATTTTTGCACTATAAGTCGTCTCAATAGAATGAATGATATGTGATCTTTCGCTTGACATTTTCATCATTCCAGCATACTGCTGACGAAAGGGAAAAAGGTGCAAGTTGTTCTCTTATTCACCTCCTGCGTAAAAGAAATACTACAAAATCACGAAAAATCGATTTTTTGCATTATTTGTTTCACACGGAATGTATGAGTAATGGATCGCAGAAATAGGAAGTTAAAGTAAAATAGAAATAACCGTGTACATTACGTCATTTGATGAAAAATTTGAAATAAGTTGATAGGAGTTAACTACGAAATTTATTTTTATGCTGGGAAAGTCTCTTATATATGTATAAAGAGTGGTATAAAATATAAGAAGGTTACATCTGTAGTGAACATTTGAAAACATGAGAACAAAAGTATCTATTTCGTATTGTGCGACTAAAAAGCAAGACAATTTTCTGTTTTCTTTTTTTTTTTTTTTATTTAATAAACAAGAGAAAAAAAAATATAATAAATAAATAAATATAATATTTTAATAATAAATTTTAGTCGACGTTTCGACAGTTAATCTGTCATTTTCAAGACCAGATGTTAAGTGATTCATGACAAAGAAATATAGAAGAAAGAGAAAAGTGATCATCTGTAGTATCTCCAATCAGAAATCCTACAGATACCACTACCATAGACGAAAACAGTGTTATGAGCGCTCATAACACTGATTCTCCCCCCTTTGGTAGTGCATCTATCGTTGATTTAATCTTGACTTTAGGTTTTTTTGTTAGTCCCTCAGGATATATTATTAGTGGTACTGAACAAATTGTTTTATTTAGAGTAGGTTTACTATTACAAATTAACAATGATTCTTTTACTAACAATCGGTAGTGTTTATTATCTTTAGCAATAATATTACAATTTTCCCAATCTATTTTATGATTATTATTAATTTCATGTTGTTTAACTGCTGAATGTGTTAGATTGTTTTGTTCAGAATCAATTGATTCATTTTGTATCTTTGGAAAATATTGTACAGTTTTTCCTTTATTTCTGTCAGATCGTCTAAGATTATTAGAATTATCAACTATATCGAGCGATTGAGATTTATTTTCCTTTTCTTTCAAGAAATTAGCTCCATGTTCTTGAAGTCTTCTATAGGTTTGTCGAATTGTTTTGCCTATATAGGTAGATTCACAATTAGAACAATCTAACTTATAAACGATATTTGATCTAAGTAGTTTAGGTATTGGATCTTTAGTTGGAAAATATTTAGATATAGATGAAGATGGTCGTTGAACTGGTTGAATGTGTATTTGTGTATTTATGGATTTTGCCAAGTTAATTATTCGTTTCCCTAAGATTTCCGTTTGTTTACCAAAAAAGGGAATATCAATGAAGACCTGCTCTCGTTTTATCGAATTATCTTTATCGTTATTTGTTTTATTTTTTGATTTATATATTTGTGTTCCATTGATCTTATCAAAATATCTACCTAGTGTTTTCCTGATCTGTGCTTTTATAAAACCTTCTGGATAACCATTTTCGATACCAATAAATTCTATAAATTCAAATTGTTCATGCATTAAATCATAGGACGAACATATCCTTATTGCTCTATAAACCATACTGCTTATGGTACTAACTTTATATGTATGGGGAACGAAAGAACTCCATTTGATTATTAAACCAGTATATGTTGGTTTTCTATATATGGTAGTAGCAAATGATTTAGAAGAAATTTGTGTATTATTATTAGTAGAAATACTAGTTGGCATATTACTTAAATTGTTAATTGAATTACTAGTTGAAGCAACATTTGAAATATTAAATGATTTGGTACTTAGATTATTTATGGAATTATTAAATACTATATTGTTTGAGTTAACAGTTGAACTATTCAATGATTTATTATTGGAACTAATTGTTAAATTATCAGCTGCTTTATTATTTAAATTATTAATGAAGTTTTTTATTGAGTTATTAGATAATTTATTATTTGAGCTATAAAAAGATTTATAATTTAAACTAATAGATGATTTATTATTTGAACTAATCGTTGAATTATTAGATGATTTATTATTTAGATTATTATTTAGATTATTGGATAAAACGTTAGTTGAAATATTATTTGTTGAATTATTAGATAGAATATTATTTAAATTATTTGTTGAATTGTTAGTTGGTAGTCGTGTAATATATATGTCAAGAAAAGGTAATGAGTTATTTACTTCTTCTTCACATGTGAAAACAATACAATTATCAAAACTATTGAGTATATCAATTATCTTATTTAAATCAGCATCTTTTTTTTTATAATAGCAAAAGTATCATCAACGAAACGTCTCAAGTACAGCAAGCCATTATTTATTAAACGTGACATTAATTTATTCTCAAGATAATTGACATATATATCAGCAAACACAGGTCCAAGTGGAGAACCCATTGCAACTCCATTGATTTGTGAATAGATCTTGTTATTAAAGATAAAGTTTGTATCTTGTGTTGAGGTGTCTAATAAATATTTCATTTCAAATCTGTTTTTACATTTTTGATACCAATCATCTCGTTTCTTATCACTATATGTACAGGTATGTTCTGGTCCATACAGTTTATCAAGAAATATTTGTATAGTGTGCTGTAATGGAACATTAGTGAATAAGCTGGTGATATCCAAAGACACCATTTTTATCTGAGAGTTATCAAATTCTAATGCAAGTAATTCATCTACGAAAGCAAATGTATTAGTTATGATTGTGCCGTTTTTTCTTAAATGGTCTAGTTTATTAGCCAATAGTTTGGCTAGATTGCAATTAAATGTACCTGAAGCTGAAACGATTGGTCGAAGTGGTGCTCCAATTTTATGAATTTTAGGTAAGCCGTATATTCTAGCAGGCTGTGAGCCAGTTGGGCGACAAAAATTATATTCTTTTTCAGTTATAAAACCATTATTTTTTAATTGTTTTAGTTTACGTATTAATCCATCGTCGTGAGACATTGTTTCATCAAATTTCAAAAGGGTGTGGGTGTGAACCACGGCTGGGTGGGTGAAGAGAAGCAGCCAACTCTCACATCCACACCCACACACCCACCCACACCCCACACCCACACCCACACCCACACTCACACCCACACCCACACCCCACACCCACACCCACCCACACCCACACCCACACCCCACCCACATTTGAGGACCCAAGGGTATCCCATAATAGTAAGACTTGAAGACCCAAGGGCTCCCCCTAATAGTAGGACTTGAGGACCCAATGGTACCCCCAATAGTAAGACTTGAGGACCTACGCATCCTCAATAGGAGGACTTGAGGGCCGAGGCTACGGGGTTGTTGACAGTAGACAGTAGCCTGTCCCTTTCCCCGTCCTCGGGTAACTGATAACGGGAACTTCCCACCCCTAGATAATACTAGAAGACTTGTCGATGCTACCAGTAAAATCCACTTGAAGAGTTACGGGTATCCCCAGAAAAGTGCTTGACAAGTGCTGGATGCCTCCAGCGAATAGTCCTTCAAGGGTTATGGGTACCCCCTGTAGATAGCCCTTTGAGACTTGTCAATACTGCCAGCAAAGAGTCCTTGAATGGTTGTGGCAATCCCCTGCACATAGCCCTTTGAGAGTTGTCGATACTCCCAGTAAATAGCGCTTGAAGTGCTGTCGATAGTCCTAGTAAATAGGCCTTGAAGGGTTGTGGGTGCTCTCTGCAGATAGCACTTTGAGAGTTGTGTATACTCTCAGTTAGTAGCTCTTGAAGAGTTACGAATAATCCCAATAAATCGCCCTTGAAAAGTTTTGGGTGCCACTCTGGATAGTCCTTGAAAAGTTGAGGATAGCATGCCTGAATAGCTCTGCGAATGTAGTAGAGATCGGTTCAATCTCAGTCGGCTGAGTTCTCTAATCTAGACTGAGCTGTTCGACTAGTTGAACTTAGATGAGATGACCTAGACGGGCATTTTATTATTACAGATTTTCTTTTTCGGACTGGTCTAAAATAATCATTATAGGTGTTAGCTCGTTTCGACGAGCTGATGTTTATTTATTTTCCAAAATATATCTGACTGAATAACTAAATGTCCTTAACCACACGTACGTATATGTTGTAGGCAAAATTGAGATTCAGGCAAATTTTAAATTTGCCTAGGCAAAATTGGAATTCTAATTTTGCCTAGGCAAAATTAGAATGTGACTAGAGATAAATTCATACAATCAAAACCAGTGAATGACGTAAATGAATTACAAAGTAATTCAAAAAAAATGAATTACAAAATAATTCACTTTCTATCAGTTTCTACCAGGGTCTACCAGGGTTTACTAAAGTCTTGATGTGGGTGCCGCGAAACAACTTACATCACATCTCACTCGTTGTGGGTGCCGCGGAACGACTTACATCACGTCCCTCTCGTTGTGGGTGCCGCGAAACAACTTACATCACATCTCTCTCGTTGTGGGTGCCGCGGAACGACTTACATCACGTCTCTCTCGTTGCGGGTGCCGCGAAACGACTTACATCACGTCTCTGTCGATGTGGGTACCGCGAAACCCTGGTAGGCCCTAGTAGGCCCTGGTTGACCCTAGACCCTGGTAGAAACTGATGGAAAGTAAACTATTTTGTAATTCAGTGTTTTTGAATTATTTTGTAATTCATTTACGTCATGGTCTCATCAAAACAATAAAACTGATCGCAATGAAATGTTTTTTGATCCAAAAAACAAATTTTGAAGAAAATAAACCTAATGGCTTGTCCTTGGATGATAGTAAACATTTAATGATATCATCATAAACACTTTGTTTTATAACACTTTTTTCTTGAAATTTTGTACTTAAAGAATTAATATATTTTTCTAATTCCGTATAGTAAACCAATTCACCATCATTTTGTTGAGCTATCTTTGAATCTGATTGAGCCATTTTTTAATCAGATTATAACGTGTGCATCTATATTTATAGTGCTTAGTGGCAAGATTGACACATAATTTTCTCCTTTTTTACTACTCCATTCTACTTTTGATAACGCACGTCATTGTATGAATTCATCTCTAGTCACATTCTAATTTTGCCTAGGCAAAATTGAAATTCTAATTCTGCCCAAGCAATGTCTAGTCAAAATTAAAATTCTAATTTTGCCTAGGCAAAATTAGAATTCCAATTTTGCCTAGGCAAATTTAAAATTTGCCTGAATCTCAATTTTGCCTACAACATATATATAACGACATACAATGGAAAAGAGAATGAAAGAAAAGAATAACAATTGCAAAGAGAGCGAGAGAAAACCAGGATAGATATGAGTCACCGCTAACATTCCTCCCCTCCCATATTGGATGTGTGTCCCCACACATCAAGGTTGAGTTTATGTTGCATATTTTCAATTTTATTTGAATTTCTCTTATATTTGTTGGGTATTTTGTTCAAGCGTTGACAAATGACTAAATAAATCTTTAAGACATAAACATCATGATCTTCAAAGTGAACATGAAATGATTGAAATTGCAAATCCATTAGTAATGGATCTTCTATAAGAGTTGTATCAATTGATGGGGTATAGAATTTTCACGAGGATAATTTTAATTTAATTTTATCATCTTTTTGTAAACAAGAACATTGTCGGTTTCCATTTCCATCAATTTTTTCATTAATTTAATTAGTTTAGATACATATTGTTTATCATTTATTTCATTTGGAATAATAAATAATATATAATATCTGTTGATGGTATACCTTGAAAACGCTATAAATTGATTTTTTCATTTATTTTTATTTCTAAACAACTATAAGGATAAACAATTGTATATTGTTGTTTCGATATTGGTAATATATAGCATAATAATGTTTGTTGAGTTTGAGATCGAGATATTCATGTATTAAATGGAATATACAATAATTATTATTCGATGATTTTACAAAATATAAATCAATTGAATCATTTGTATATAAGCCGTATCATTAAGATAATCAATAAGTAAATATTTATGTTAAATATTCGATGGTGAAAAATTGTTATATATAAATTTTCTTCGTTTGATGTGCTAGATGTGAACATAACATAATCTTGTTTTGATCATAGTAAAATTGTGAAATGTACCACATGCATCATTCTTTGCACGAAACAGTGCGCGCATACTGTTAAAGTGCTTTGATTGTTACACATTATGGTTGAATAATATATCATTTCGTGTTAAGTATTAAAAAGAAGAGAAAATATTTAATATTCGAGTTCGACAGCCCCTCCTTGTCAGTGAGAAGGTGAATTTCTGTCTCCCCGGCATGGACTGCTGAATCAAACTGAATCATTTTTACTTAATTATAAATGATAATTATTTTTACTTTACTAATTGTGCCATCTAATACACATCTTTCCCTTTCGGGATGTGTTTATTGGATTAAATTCCATCGTTCCACCAATGGAACGATAACATCCATTGTCACTTGTCTTGTTAATGTTAATTTTTTAACATGTTGAATAATGAATGTTTTAGGTCCTAATTGTTTGATAATTTTAAATGGACCTTCATATCGTATATCAAATTTATTTCTAAC